TTCTTTTTCGTCTTCTTCTTATCGGGCGGTAATCCCGCGTGGTCTCGTCAGTGGGACCTGCAGTTCTTGTTCGACGTTCCTGCTCTGACCTATCAAACATCTTCTGACTCTGACTTAAAGGAATCCTTCCACGGAAAAAGCTCCGCCTCCATTACCACAGAAAAACGATACCCCTTAGGCCCCTAGCCTCATGAGCATAGCAAAAAGAACGGAACATAAGCAGCGTTAGTTTCGATAATACTAATCCTACACACAAGACAAAATGATCACTCTTTCCGTGGAAGATTCCTTTAAGGTATCGTTTCTTCTGTGGTAATGAAGGCCGGAGAGACTCTTGAAGTCCCTTTTCAATTTAAAGGACGAATTCACGCTGGAAAGGCAACCCATTTCAAATTAAGTTAGCGATGGTGAGTGGTACACTAAAGAAGGAAAAACCATGCGAAACGGCCCAGAACCTGAGAAATGGGACCACTTCCTTGCCCGTTGATTTGAGCATTGATGCGACTATCATCGCTGTGCCCTCTTCAACGCTACGCTCTCTCACCTATCTAATCACTCACCACGTATAGACCTGCGGCGAGTGATCAGATGATCGGTGGGCGTGCACTGACCAGCCGCGGCGGGATTAAACCTTAATAGGTCAACGAGGTCAACTCCTCCTGTGCAAATTGTGCTTCAGTTCGCACACTTAGGAGCTCCGCGGGTCCCTCAACCAGGTGAATTCTTCCTAATTCGATTTTCCCTCTGATCGTGAATTCGTCCTTTAAGTGATTCTTTAAGTGGCCCTCTTGGAAGGTGTGCACGTTTTGATGGACTCCCGTTGTCGTTTTGCTCCGCCATAATCAAGTACCTTCTTTATCATTGATCATGATGCTCCTTAGCTCATGTCTATACATGGGAGTCGCTGCTCCCGACCCTTCAGTTGGACAGGGGGCGGTCTGCATGACCATCATGACATCCTCGTTTCTGATTCCTTTCTGTCTCGTCTCGCTGGCCCATGTCGGAATCCTTCATTTCAGCAGAGTAGGGCCTATCATGGTTGCTGACCACTGGACACTGGTCGCTCGCTGTGTTTCTGTGAATCGGCAGGACTTGTACGTTTTTCTCTGTTAACAGTATTCTGTTGCCCTCATTAGTCCCTTTTTACATGGGCTAGGGTGGTCACGAAGATGAAAGCCGCTGATGAGCCTGCGAGTGGAGTAGTCTTCCCTTGTTTTAAACTGGAAGCAGGTGTTATGTCCTGAATGCGGGCGTCGCTGCCGCTTTACACGCTCCCACTCTCATGCTTTGGGACATACTTGGTCCGTACCTTATTCAGTATTATCTCATTGCGGTCGGTAACTGGGTGTTTCCTTGGGCGAGCGTCTACGGCACGTCTACTGTTGGCGAAGTGCCGGGGCTGTTGGCAGACTATTTCTTAGCGAGGGAGTACTTTATGTTTCTTCACAGTTTTGAGGGATGCTCTTCTTACGAGCACGTGGTTTTTCCTTTGTCTCCCTTCGCAGTTGTGGGTTTCTTTCTGTGTCTCCCTTTTTGCGGCCAGATCGTGGGCTGTAGCCAAGTCTAGAACCTTCGGGGCGTTCCTCACTCCTATCCTCTACCTCCGTGCACCCTTTCAGGCCTCTTCTGTCACTGCCGACGTGTGGCCATTCAGATCACCTGCTATGGTCAGGTAATCGCCTTCCGGAATCGATCTTATGGCTTCGTCAAGGCTCAGGTAGAACTCGTCCTTCTCACTTTCGGGGCATCCCGGCTTGCGGTGCGTACACGGAGAGTATTGTCCAGTACCCCTCTTTCGTGTCTATCCTCACAGCCATGATCCGATCGCTGATCCTGTTCATACAAAAGTCCTTGAATGACTCCGTACCGCTATAGCACCTTGTCGGTGCCTTCTGCTCTGTAGTGAAGTTTGACTCTTCTTCCAAGTTCCTGGCCTGAGGTACTTTCTCTTACATCTTGAAGACGGAAAACTCGAACAATTCTTTCTTTGTCACGGTTCATTCGAACTAGCTCCAATAGCCAACCTTGTCCACTCCTCGGTAGCCCTCGAATACTGACCGCAGAACTTGGACGAGGGGTCTGATCGCCACTTCCAAGCGACGACCCTTAGCATTGTCACTGCTACTTTTGCGACTTCCAAATGGCTACGTGGCAGGAGTTTTGCATGCGGTCCATTATCCTTAACGTGACGGCGATACGAGCCAGTTTTGCAGTTTTGATAGGGCATGGTTAGGCCTAGGCAGGGATTGGACCTACTTCTTTCAGGCGTGTAAACTTGAGCCTACACTCCTGACCGCTCGGCTAACCATGTCTAGCATTGCCTATCATTGTGCCAGTTTTATGGTTAGATTATTAGTACTTGTGAATCGCGAAATTTTTCAGTGTAAATGCCCTTTTCGTATACTCACGAGAGGCTGGGTAATTTTCACCATAGAGTTTGACCCATCGTGTTTGAATGTAGTAATGAAGGTTAGGAATTAGATTCTGGAGTACTCTAGGTTTACCTTGGGTAGACTAAAACGTGGGTACCACATAAAACCTCTCCGTAGTGCAAAATCTAAGCTTGCTGTTGGAAACCGAGCTATTCTGATTCCATCTTTGGTAGGTTTCTATATTAGCAGAGGTTTAGCTTAACCAGACGCTTCAAATGTGGGAGGCTGTATCGTATTCCATTGAGGCGAAGTCAGTTGTTCGTTAAACTGTATCCAACGAGGTGGGCGGGGTAGCTGACGGAGGGCGTGGCTTGTTCTTGTAATCTTTGAGAGGAGGGGGGTTGTACTTGATGATTGACAATTTCGGAAGTTGAGCAAAGGAAGTTTTCGAGGTCTGGAACTTTCTTTCATAGAATTTGAGGTAGTTCGGATCCTATTATTCTCGCACGACGGACTTTGTGGAGATGGGTGGTAGGTTGGAGGTAAGATCACCGAGACTTCTAAAGGGAAGAATCGAAGAGGGCCATTTCAGGATTTGTTCCGAAAGAGGTCGTGCTGACATCAATTTTTACACGACGCAGTAGTTGCCCTAAGGGCTGTATAACTCGTCAATTGGTAATAGTCACGGGTAGAAGTATACTTGAGCTCTCCTCTCCTCAAAGTCGTTGCGTAGACCCACAGATCTAATATCACGACGATTCTCAGCAGAATTTATATGCATAGCTGGCTCGCGGAAGTGTGTAGGTATCAGATGGGCACGCCTTCTACACGCGCCAGAGCGCGCCCGGGATCCCCAAATACACTGGTCGTGAGTCGCGGCAACCCAAAGCGCCGCCACGCTGACGGGTCCGTTACATTGGTACCAGAGCCTTGTCTGAGAGGGATAAAAACGACATGTGTTTGTGACACGCTGCCGCAACGTCACTGTATAGGCCCCATCGCATTCAACGCCGGGTGGCGCCGAAGCCAGGGATTGCTGTGGACCATAGTAATTAGCCCCACCCGTGACAAATTAACAAATTGGAAGTTAGACAGCTGCGCGACATGCGCAAGAAAAGGATTGAGAGATATGCCCTTGTCTTTAACCTTTTAGGCTTGATTCGTGTCGGCACAATTTTTTCACTATCTATGTATATGGAGGGGGTGCAATAAAAAAGGATCATTTTCTTCGCTCTTCCATTCACCATTGAATTTACTCACAATCTCGCTCAATCAAAAAATACCGAAAGCTGGCCAAACTTAGGTGTATGGAAAGCACGATTGCCATTTATATGATGAAGGATCTTATATGGCCCCCTAAATGTGAACGAATCAGAAAATGTCGCTCCCGGAAAACATGTGGTCATTGAAAGGATTGACGCGGGGGGAGGACGGGAGACTTTCAATCTGAAAACGGAGTTTCGAGGGGCTCGCATAGGTGGAGCAGTGTCCTCTAGAAATTATCCATCTTATTGAAGGTCGATTCAGCAGAGACCTTATGTAAAGCTCCAGGCCTGAAGTTGGTTACCAGTTGCCCTCCTTTGAGTCTTGGACAACGATGACTACGTACGTCCTGTCTGACGCAGACCGTCGCGTTGTGTGGCAGTGAAGGTAGAGCCCGCGTCGTCCACCTATAGAGCACATTTAGGGAATACTTGCCTTATGTGAAGACTTGCGTCGACGACAACGGCAATCTCTGAGAAGAAAAAGGTCGAAGTGGGACATTGGGCATCGTTTTTTTTGCCCCCCCCCCCATCCTCGCCTGTTTCTCACGGCTAAGTATCTTGTAAGAATCAAGGGAAAGTGAAGTAAAGCAGTCAAGAAAAAAAAAAGACCCATTCGAAAACGTTATACATTGGGGTACTTTCAGTTCGAGTAGAGTGTTTTATGTGTGATACTTGGGTTTCTTCAGGTTTCGTGCTTGGGAATTGGGCCTTACCACTACTTCTGTTTTTTGTCGGAATCCTTCTAACCATTGTAAAGGTGATTGCATCCGTTAGCAGTTTCTATAGAGTGCTCCTGGTCGCCGTTCCCATGTACTCCAGAAAAACTCCGAAAGTCTTCGCCGGGCAGTATCGACGATGTTAGTAGCTTTGCGCTGAACCCGCATTGAATTACTCCTTGAACTGTCTTGACCACGATTTGTCTTCATCCCGGTTCTTATCCAGGCAATCAGATAGTACAGTTTCAACACCGGGTCGCTGGATAGTGTGAGAAAATCAATTTCTAAAGCTCATCCATTTTTTTATAAGCAGAAACAAAGCTCGCGCCAACTTTAACAATCGTTCAGGCATTATGCTCTTTTTTTAAGCCTGCAATATTTACCACATGCACCAACAGCTAACTTTCGAAAGAAAAGGAACAGGCATACGAGATCAAGCGGTCACTCCTAGCCATCGCACATGAAGTTCTGCTTTGGCATATTTCGAGAAAAAAAAAACGATTCTCCGCTTGGTTGCTGCCAATTGTTCTTTACTATTCAGGTGCAGCTGTAATCAACTGTACTGGCTTCACCATCAAGGAGCCATCCTTTCCGGCAGTACCTCTTTCTTATTTGGTACTTACACATGGTATCAGGAATAGTGAACTCAGTGGAATGTCTACCGAGTAAATCACTAGCATTCCGCTGAACACCAGCAGCAATCTTGAAAAGGCATCATCCAGAATTGGAGAATAAATGGATAAATCGGAGTAGAGAAGCTGGCGAAAAGAGTTGCGACAACCTTGTAAGACCACAGGGAAATTGAGGCCCTTTGGCGCAGTAATGGCGCATAAACGAGGCCTAAGATGTTTCCAGTTCAGCGTCCGTCCTTCGATCCCACATATATGGGAGCGTCATCAAGGATTTCCTCCAAGTTAAGATGGTTTTCGATGATTTCTGTATCTTACATTGTTGGTTCTCTCTAACAGCAATCAATTATCGATCGATAATATGTACATTTCATAGGTGATAATGATTTGGGTAGGGCGGAAGTGGTGTAGTGGCAAGTGGCACGCTTACCACGCGAGCGGTCCGGGGATCAAATCCTGGGTCGTGAGTCGCCCGGGCCAACCAAGCCTTCCCTCCGGGGTCGGTTAATTGGTACCAGACTTGTCTGGGAGGATAAAAACACTGACTTGTACATCGGCTGGCCCCCGCAAGTCATTGTATAGGCCACATCGCATTCAAACGCCACTACGAATGTACAAATGGAAGTAGAATGCGTGCCGCATCCCAAAAAGGGATTGATCAACGGCAAATGCTTTATCCTTTATCCTTTTAATGATTTGACTAATGTCTTTATTCCCACCGAACCACCATGAATAGGCAGTATGTAAAATTTTGTGATTTTGTACAATTCTATTATCCATGCATTATTTAATAATAATAATTGAGGCTCAAGTTTGGAAGTTGATCTTCCATTCAAACAGCAAAATTCCTGGTGGGTCTTTTTCATATATACTTGGAACTCCTGGACGATGACTCACTAGAAATATCAGGCCACTCCAATAAAACACCACCCATCAATCGTGTAAGGCAGAAGTAACTAACACATGTTACAGCTATCTAACTATGAGGGCTTGAACACGGGGATGAAGCTGGATTATGGCAATATGCATGGTTGCTATTTCACTCCTTCGGTTTTTCTGCGGCATCAGCTTCCTGACCAGCTTTTTCCTGTTCAATGACGTTTCGCATGTCTTACCTTTGCAAGCACCTGCTCTGCTGGGGCCCAAACTCTCTCCTATCATTGCTGCCTTTATCGGGCACTCATGAGTTGATTCGTTCATTCATTTCGAAGGCTAGCAATGCTCTCAAAAGATGTTCCTGTCGAGACAAAGAAAGTTGAGCTGTTTTCCTTCTGCAATCTCTCGATATGTGCGCATAATTTTCATCTCGCTAGACTCAGAAATCTTCCGATATCTGGGTTCCAATGTAAGGACGTACCTACAGTTTCCCGGAGGTGTAGTGCAGTGCAACGCTTACCACGCGAGCGGTCCGGGGATCAAATCCTGGGTCGTGAGTCGCCCGGGCCAACCAAGCCTTCCATCCCTCCGGGGTCGGTTAATTGGTACCAGACTTGTCTGGGAGGATAAAAACACTGACTTGTACATCGGCTGGCCCCGCAAGTCATTGTATAGGCCACATCGCATTCAAACGCCACTACGAATGTACAAATGGAAGTAGAATGCGTGCCGCATCCCAAAAAGGGATTGATCAACGGCAAATGCTTTATCCTTTTATCCTTTTGCCGTGGCAGCGCAAGTCATTCTGAGAAAGCTCTCACAGATATCTGATACTGAAGATGTTTCCAATTTTTAGAGCTTCCAAACCTCACCGTAATACTTCTTACGGTCGCAGTCCTGCGCCACCTCGCCGCGTAGTCGAAGCTAATGGGTCGGTATACCAGACTGGCTGTGTCTGAGAATTCCTCAACCATTTTAAGCATACGAAACAAGTTTTTCATAGAAAAACGGCATTACAAAGCAGCCTATTGGTGATACCTTCCGTGACCTCTCAATGGTGTCAGAACTCAACGACCCTTCGAAAAAAAGGAGGGCCGAAAAGACTTGTACCTGTTCAAGGACATGTGGCGCCACTTTTCAACCTTTGTTTTTCATTAGATCTCGTTCAGGATGATCTTGTTCTATAGCACCGTGTTATATCGTTACGTTAGATGTTGTAATTCAAACATGTGTTTCTTATTCGAATAGTATTAAGCCCAGAAGACAACTCCACGAGGGCTTGGCCTTTATCTTCTCATAATTTTACTGTGTGGAGGACGTGGTGCAGTGGCGAGAGGTGCCACTTCCCACGCACGATGCTGTGGTTACATCTCGGATCGAATCTCGCCCACGCCAATCAAGTCCTCCATCCCTACGGGGTCGGTCGATGCAGACTTATCTGGGAGGGCAAACATACTGGCTTGTGAATTGGCTGACTCACATTACTTACCATGTACGCCATATCGCATTCAACTTTTACTACGACTCTGAATGGAAGTGGAGTGCGTGGCGCATCCCAAAAAGGGACAAATTGGCGTCAAAAGCTTTATCCCCAGATTTAATTTGGCTGTTCACTCTCCCAAAGCCTGTCGCATTTTTTTGAATTCTCTTACCCATTACCATCCTTCGCCGTTTTACTACTCCCTTGCTGCAAGTTCTCTGCATATTCTAAATACGTCCGTTCTTCGGCCAAAATTTAGCTCGATTCATGTTTTTTAATCGTTATGAATACTCGTCGTTCAAACGTTCAAACTAGCCATTCTATTGCTTCGGCGCGGGTGTTTTGTTGCTTTTCTGACGT